AGTAATACCAATAGCTGGCGGCTAACGCCTTAGCTAAAAACTTGTACCCGGAAAACAAACACATCGCTCTAAAAAATAGGAATCAATAATCGGGGTGAAACTTGTACTCGGAAAACATAGCCATCGCTCTTGAAAAATTGGAATCAATAATCGGGGTGAAACTTGGACCAGGAAAACAAAGCCATCGCTCTGAAAAATAGGAATCAATAATCGGGGAAAAACATGTACCCGGAAAACATAGCCATCGCTCTGGGAAAATAGGAATCAATAATGAGGAAAAAACTTGTACCAGGAAAACATAGCCATTGCTCTGAAAAATAAGAATCAATATTCAGAGGGGAAACTTGTACTAAAAAAATATAGTTATCGCTCTGAAAAATAGTAATCAATAATGGGGTAAAAACTTGTACCAGAAAAACATAACCAACACTCTTGGAAAATAGGAATCAATAATCGAGGAAAAACATGTACCCGGAAAACATAGCCATCGCTCTGGGAAAATAGGAATCAATAATGAGGAAAAAACTTGTACCAGGAAAACATAGCCATCGCTCTGAATAGGAATCAATATTGGGGTAAAAACTTGTACCAGAAAAACATAGCAATCGCTCTGAAAATAGGAATCAATAATCGTGAAACTTGTACCAGGAAAACATAGTAATCGCTCTGAAAAATAGGAATCAATGATGGGGTTAAAACTTGTACCAGGAAAACATAGACATTGCTCTAAAAAATAGGTATCAATCAATAATCGGGGAAAAACTTGTACCCTGAAAGCATCGCCATCGCTCTGAAAAATAGGAAACAATAATCGGGGAAAAACTTGTACTCGGAAAACATAGCCATCGCTCTTGGAAAATTGGAATCATTAATCGGGGAAAAAACTTGTACCAGGAAAACATAGCCATCGCTCTAAAAAACAGGAATAAATAATCGGGGAAAAACTTGTACCAGGAAAACAAAGCAATCGCTCTGAAAATAGGAATCAATAATGGGGAAAAACTTGTTCTCGGAAAACATAGCCATCGCTCTTGAAAAATTTGAATCAATAATCGGGGTGAAACTTGGACCAGGAAAACAAAGCCATCGCTCTTCAAAATAGGAATCAATAATCAGGGAAAAACTTGTACCCGGAAAATATAGCCATCGCTCTGGGAAAATAGGAATCAATAATGAGGAAAAAACTTGTACCAGGAAAACATAGCCATCGCTCTGAAAAATAGGAATCAATAATCGGAGGGGAAACTTGTACCTGGAAAACATAGCCATCGCTCTTGGAAAATAGGAATCAATAATCGGGGTGAAACTTGTACCAGGAAAACATAGACATTGCTCTAAAAAATAGGTATCAATCAATAATCGGGGGAAAACTTGTACCCTGAAGCATCACCATCGCTCTGAATAATAGGAATCAATAATCGGGGAAAAACTTGTACTCAGAAAACATAGCCATCGCTCTTGGAAAATTGGAATCATTAATCGGGGAAAAAACTTGTACCAGGAAAACATAGCCATCGCTCTAAAAAACAGGAATAAATAATCGGGGAAAAACTTGTACCAGGAAAACAAAGCAATTGCTCTGAAAATAGGAATGAATAATGGGGAAAAACTTGTACCCGGAAAACATAGCGATCGCTCTTGGAAAATAGGAATGAACAATGGGGTAAAAAAAATAATTCCTGGGGAACATAGCCATTGCTCAAAAAAACAGGAATAAATAATCGGGGTGAAATTTGTACCAGGAAAACAAAGCCATCTCTCTGAAAAATAGGAATCAATATTCAGAAGGGAAACTTGTACTAAGAAAACATAGCCATCGCTCTGAAAAATAGGAATCAATAATCGGAGGGGAAACTTGTACCAGGAAAACATAGTCATCACTATTGGAAAATAGGAATGAATAATGGGGAAAAAACTTGTACCAGGAAAACATAGCCATCGCTCTAAAAAACAGGAATAAATAATCGGGGAAAAACTTGTACCAGGAAAACAAAGCAATTGCTCTGAAAATAGGAATGAATAATGGGGAAAAACTTGTACCCGGAAAACATAGCCATCACTATTGGAAAATAGGAATCAATAATCGGGGTGAATCTTGTACCCGGAAAACAAAGCTATCTCTCGGAAAAAAAGGAATCAATAATCGGAGGGGAAACTAGTACCAAGAAAACATAGCCATTGCTCTGAAAAATAGGAATCAATAATGGGGTAAAAACTTGTACCAGGAAAACATAGCCAGTGCTCTAAAAAAATAGAAATCAATAATCGGGGAAAAACTTGTAACCGGAAAACATAGCCATCGCTCTTGGAAAATTGGAATCAATAATCGGGGTAAAAACTTGTACCAGGAAAACAAAGCCATCGCTCTAAAAATAGGAATCGATAATTGGGGAAAAACTTGTACTCGGAAAACATAGCCATCACTCTTGGAAAATTGGAATCAATAATCGGGGTGAAACTTGTACCAGGAAAACAAAGCCATCGCTCTGAAAAATAGGAATCAATAATCGGGGAAAAACTTGTACTTGGATTAGGACAGCCCACTATCTGATGATTGTGGGGATTAGGAGAGTCCACTATCTGATGATTGTGGGGATTAGGACAGTCCACTATCTGATGATTGTGGGGATTAGGACAGTCCACTAAATGATGATTGTGGGGATTAGGACGTCCCACTGTCTGATGGTAGTGGGGATTAGGACAGTCCAATATCTGATGAGTGTGGGGATTAGGACAGTCCACTATCTGATGATTGTGGTGATTAGGACAGCCCACTTTCTGATGATTGTGGGGATTAGGACAGCCCAATTTCTCATGATTGTGGGGATTTTGACAGCCCACTGTCTGATGGTAGTGGTGGTTTTGACAGCCCACTGTCTGATGGTAGTGGTGATTTTGACAGCCCGCTATCTGATGGTAGTGGTGATTTAGACGGCCAACTGTCGGATGGTAGTGGTGGTTTTGACAGCCCACTATCTGATGGTAGTGGGGATTTAGACGGCCAACTGTCTGATGGTAGTGGTGGGTTTGACAGCCCACTATCTGATGGTAGTGGTGATTTTGACAGCCCACTGTCTGATGGTAGTGGTTGTTTTGACAGCCCACTGTCTGATGGTAGTGGTGATTTTGACAGCCCACTATCTGATGGTAGTGGTGATTTAGACGGCCAACTGTCTGATGGTAGTGGTGGTTTTGACAGCCCACTATCTGATGGTAGTGGTGATTTGGACGGCCAACTGTCTTATGGTAGTGGTGATTTGGACGGCCCACTATCTGATGGTAGTGGTGATTTGGACGGCCAACTGTCTGATGGTAGTGGTGGTTTTGACAGCCCACTGTCTGATGGTAGTGGTGGTTTTGACAGCCCACTGTCTGATGGTAGTGGTGGTTTTGACAGCCCACTGTCTGATGGTAGTGGTGGTTTTGACAGCCCACTGTCTGATGGTAGTGGTGGTTTTGACAGCCCACTGTCTGATGGTAGTGGTGGTTTTGACAGCCCACTGTCTGATGGTAGTGGTGGTTTTGACAGCCCACTATCTGATGGTAGTGGTGATTTGGACAGCCCACTGTCTGATGGTAGTGGTGATTTGGACGGCCAACTATCTGATGGTAGTGGTGATTTGGACAGCCCACTATCTGATGATTGTTGGCTTTAAAATGTTTTACAGTCAATCTGCCCTAACTAATTTTAGTTCCAATCTGTTGAGATTTCACACAGGTACTGTAATTGATTAAGCAAGGTCTGTACTAATCAGCGTTTTACTGTACATAGCTATAGGCCTATAGTGTACTGTAGCACTAGCTGTAGCCTCAAATCCAAATGTGTTAAGGAAGAGAGTGCCAGCACTATGTGTTGTATCTCAAACAGACTTCAAATTTCCAACTTGTTTGACGTTTTTCTGACTGAAGATGCTTGCCCATTTACTGTTGCAAACAGCGATTGGGAAGAAATATACTGACATTTTTATTCACTAAAACATCTCTGTTGCCGCAGGGATTTGATTACCAGACCTCTTGAAAATTAAGCAGTAAAATTAGCAACCCTGCAAATGGTCAGATTTGTTAGGTATGTAAATACGTTTCTGCATCATTACTGAGAAAATTTCAAAACGTTCAAAATTTCCAAAAGGCCTGTATCCTATACTTGTCTTTGTTCAACAGAAATTAACTATTCGAGGTCTGTATATAGAAGAACGTGGTGCCACACTTTACCTTGTGGGGAAGACTGGGACCAATCCATTCCAGTACTTGTGGAGGAAAAACATGACAAGAGACTGTTTGACATTATTTTATTGACAGTATGACAAGGTAAACAGAGCCTTTATCATTGTTGTGTTTGATGCTGGTGTAAACACACCCACACCACTAACCAGTAACTAAATCTACAGATCCATATAACAATCTATTTCCAACTTTTGTACTGTTCAAATGTGTCTTCAAGGTTGAATGAGTTAAGGGTTGTACTACATCGTATATAAGGCTTTCCACCCTTACATGTATGTAAACACCCTTTACATATGTTCATTTGTACTTGGTTAAATAATTAATGACAAGAATGAATCAATTACCAGTTCACGTTAAATCAAATGTTTTTTTAAACACAAGCATGTGTAAAGTAGGATGAAATGTAGATCACACCAACTTGATACCTCTCAAATTGTAGACAAAATGATCACATCAGTCTGATAAAATTAGTTTTACATATGAAATTATATGTACAAATATAATTATTTTACAATTCTTATATTTCATACTTAAGTCAAATGCATTCAATTATATTTCCAATACTTTCTCTGTTAGACTTAATGTAGTTCACAATGATAACAATCACATAATATGTGTTTCCTTTGCCAGGCAGTGATGTGATGATCAAATGTTATACATCTTTTAATTGCACAAGACAAGTGTCCTTCATATCCTTATAACTGCATGTATCTCAATCCACAGGTAGTCTCCATGCATTCCACTACAGAAAATGTGTTCCACCGGAATGCACCTCTATCATCTACACAATTCTGTATCTGATGAAACTGTATCTTCAGTCTCCAATCCTTTAACCACACATACACAAATAAACGTCTCTATCCTCCTTTGAGAAGACTAAGTAATATTACAACAGATAAAAACTTTCCTCAACAGTTCCTTCGCGATCAGATCAGTCTGGCATTGTAAACATGCCAGGAAAATAATCTGTTCATTTCTACCAATGATTATGAAGTTTTCTAACAACATTGAGAGTGCCTTGATTTTCTCTCAGGATATCTGATTGTCTTTTGACACTATTTTCGTTCCACGATGTACCGTACCTAGGGGTAAGTAAAACAAACATCAATATGTAAAAAAGGTAATCATTTTACAATGTCAAGTCACCACTAATACAATGTCAAGTCACCACTAATACAATGTCAAGTCATCACTAATACAATGTCAAGTCCCCACCAATACAGGGTAGTCTCCAATAAATCAATGTCAAGTCACCACTAATACAAGGTAGTCTCCACTAATACAAGGTAGTCTCCACTAATACAAGGTAGTCTCCACTAATACAATGCCAAATCACCACTAATACAAGGTAGTCTCACTAATACAAGGTAGTCTCCACTAAATCAATGTCAAGTCACCACTTATACAAGGTAGTCTCCACTAAATCAATGTCCAGTCTCCACTAATACAAGGTAGTCTCCACTAATACAAGGTAGTCCCCACTAATACAATGTCAAGTCTCCACTAATACAAGGTAGTCACCACTAATACAAGGTAGTCTCCACTAAATCAATGTCAAGACACCACTAATACAAGGTAGTCTCCACTAATACAATGCCAAATCACCACTAATACAAGGTAGTCTCCACTAAATCAATGTCCAGTCTCCACTAATACAAGGTAGTCTCCACTCATACAAGGTAGTCTCCACTAATACAAGGAAATCTCCACTAAATCAATGTCAAGTCACCACTAATAAAAGGTAGTCTCCACTAAATCAATGTCAAGTCGCCACTAATACAAGGTAGTCTCCACAAATACAAGGTAGTCTCCACTAATACAATGTCAAGTCACCACTTATACAAGGTAATCTCAACTAATACAATGTCAAGTCACCACTAATACAAGGTAGTCTCCACTAAATCAATGTCAAGTCACCACTAATACAATGTCAAGTCATCACTAATACAATGTGAGGTCTCCACTAATACAGGGTAGTCTCCACTAATTGTCAAGTCATCACTAATACAAGGTAGTCTCCGCTAAAACAAGGTAGTGTCCGCTAATACAAGGTAGTCTCCACTAATACAAGGTAGTCTCCACTTATACAAGGTAGTTTCCACTTATACAAGGTAGTCTCCACTTATACAAGGTAGTCTCCACTAATACAATGTAGTCTCCACTAATACAAGGTAGTCTCCACTAATACAAGGTAGTCTCGACTAAATCAATGTCAAGTCTCTACTAATACAAGGTAGTCTCCACAAAATCAATGTCAAGTCTCCACTAATAAAAGGTAGTCTCCACTAATACAATGTCAAGTCACCACTAATACAAGGTAGTCTCAACTAAATCAATGTCAAGTCACCACTAAATCAATGTCAAGTCACCATTAATACAAGGTAGTCTCCACTTAATCAATGTTAAGTCTCCGCTAATACAAGGTAGTCTCCACTAATACAAGGTAGTCTCCACAGACTACTTATACAAGGAAGTCTCCACTAATACAAGGTAGTCTCAACTAAATCAATGTCAAGTCTCCACTAATACAAGGTAGTCTCCACTAAATCAATGTCAAGTCTCCACTAATACAAGGTAGTCTCCACTAAATCAATGTCAAGTCACCACTAATACAAGGTAGTCTCCACTTATACAATGTAAAGTATCCACTAATACAAGGTAGTCTCCACTCAATCAATGTCAAGTCTCCACTAATACAAGGTAGTCTCCACTAATACAATGTCAAGTCACCACTAATACAAGGTAGTCTCCACTAATAGAAGGTAGTCTCCACTAATACAAGGTAGTCTCCACTAATACAATGTCAAGTCACCACTAATACAAGGTAGTCTCCACTAATACAAGGTAGTCTCCACAAAATCAATGTCCAGTCTCCACTGATACAAGGTAGTCTCCACTTATACAATGTAGTCTCCACTAATACAATGTCAAGTCACCACTAATACAAGGTAGTCTCCACTATACCAGGTAGTCTCCACTTAATCAATGTTAAGTCTCAGCTAATACAAGGTAGTCTCCACTGATACAAGGTAGTCTCCACTTATACAAAGTCCCGTCACCATACAATGCCAAATCACCACTATACAATGTCAAGTCACCTCTAATACAAGGTAGTCTCCACTTATACAAAGTCAAGTCACCACTAATACAAGGTTGTCTCCACTAAATCAATGTTAAGTCTCAACTAATACAAGGTAGTCTCCACTTATACAATGTAAAGTATCCACTAATACAAGGTAGTCTCGCCTAAATCTATGTCAAGTCACCACTAAATCAATGTCAGATCACCACTAAATCAATGTCAGATCACCACTAAATCAATGTCAAGTCGCCACTAATACAAGGTAGTCTCCACTTATACAAAGTCAAGTCACCACTAATACAAGGTTGTCTCCACTTATACAAGGTAGTCACCACTGAATCAATGTCAAGTCTCCACTAATAAAAGGTAGTCTCCACTAATACAAGGTTGTCTCCACTAAATCACTGTCCAGTCTCCACTAATACAAGGTAATCTCCACTAAATCAATGTCAAGTTACCACTAATACAAGGTAGTCTCAACTAAATCAATGTCAAGTCTCAACTAATACAAGGTAGTCTCCACTTATACAATGTAGTCTCCACTAATACAATGTAGTCTCGCCTAAATCAATGTCAAGTCACCCCTAATACAAGGTAGTCTCCACAAAATCAATGTCCAGTCTCCACTGATACAAGGTAGTCCCCACTTATACAATGTAGTCTCCACTGATACAATGTCAAGTCACCACTTATACAATATTAAAGACGTCCAGTCTCCACTAATACAAGGTAGTATCCACTAAATCAATGTCAAGTTACCGCTAATACAAGGTAGTCTCCACTGATACAAGGTAGTCTCCACTAATAGAAGGTAGTCTCCACTAAATCAATGTCAAGTCACCACTAAATCAATGTCAAATCACCACTAAATCAATGTCAAATCACCACTAATACAAGGTAGTCTCGCCTAAATCAATGTCAAGTCACCACTAAATCAATGTCAAGTCACCACTAATACAAGGTTGTCTCCACTAAATCAATGTCCAGTCTCCACTAATACAAGGTAGTCTCCACTAATACAAGGTAGTATCCACTAAATCAATGTCAAGTCACCACTAATACAAGGTAGTCACCACTAAATCAATGTCAAGTCTCCACTTATACAAGGTTGTCTCCACTAAATCAATGTCAAGTCTCAACTAATACAAGGTAGTCTTCACTAAATCAATGACAAGTCTCCAATAAATCAATGTCAAGTCTCCACTTATAAAAGGTAGTCTCCACTTAATCAATGTCAAGTCTCCACTAAATCAATGTCAAGTCTCCACTAGTACAAGGTAGTCTCCACTAATAAAAGGTAGTCTCCACTAAATCAATGTCAAGTCACCACTTATACAAGGTAGTCTCCACTAAATCAATGTCAAGTCACCACAAATGCAAGGTAGTCTTCACTAAATCAATGTCAAGTCACCACTAATCTTACAAGGTAGTCTCCACCAAATCAATGTCAAGTCACCACTAATACAAGGTACTCTCCACTAATACAATGCCAAATCACCACTAATACAAGGTAGTCTCCACTTATACAAGGTAGTCTCCACTAAATCAATGTCAAGTCACCACAAATACAAGGTAGTCTTCACTAAATCAATGTCAAGTCACCACTAATCTTACAAGGTAGTCTCCACTAAATCAATGTCAAGTCACCACAAATCCAACAAGGTAGTCTCCACTAAATCAATGTCAAGTCTCCACTAATACAAGGTAGTCTCCACTAATACAATGCCAAATCACCACTAATACAAGGTAGTCTCCACTAATACAATGTCAAGTCACCACTTATACAATGTCAAGACACCACTTATACAATGTCAAGTCACCACTTATACAATGTCAAGTCACCACTAATACAATGTCAAGTCACCTATTATACAATGTCAAGTCACCACTTATACAATGTCAAGTCACCACTTATACAATATTAAAGACTCATAGGCCAAAGCATGGTGTCACAACCTATTTACCAATACTGAATGGCCCGTCTCGTCCCAGTGGGGCCATATATACTGTCTTATTTTACAATGTTGGGATCCACTGACTCAAGGATGCTCCAGACCAACTTAGGTTAAAATCCCTTTGCCTGTACTTTGGCAAGGTGAACTTAGAATTATCTCAAAAATATTCAGTTTCAATTAAGCATTTTTGCAGGTTGTTTATACAATTACCGAAATTATCAAGTTTTAGACTTGTAACGTTGAAAAATTATTCTGCACAACAAAGATGGCAGAATGTGACCCAAACATTGCTTTAAAACTGAATTCAACAACTCATCGTGTGATTGTTTCGAATTATCAAAATGTGTTTTTTTAGAATATAATGAAACTACGTACAATATGGTAAGGGAGACAACTCAGCTGTACTCCTGTTTGAGTTCCTCCAGCTGCTGTCGAATGGCGTTCTCTCGTTCCTCACGGTTACGCTCCTCAATCTCCACCTCCTTCTTCACCTTCTGCCACTTCAGAACCATGGACGATACGTTCTTCTTCTTGAGCGTCAGACTTGTACTGCTCATTGTCTACAACATCAAATTATATAGTTCACTCACAGATAATATATATAGTTCACTCACAGATAATATAGTTCACTCACAGATAATATAGTTCACTCACAGATACTATAGTTCACTCACAGATAATATAGTTCACTCACAGATACTATAGTTCACTCACAGATAATATAGTTCACTCACTGATACTATAGTTCACTCACAGATACTATAGTTCACTCAGATACTATAGTTCACTCACAGATACTATAGTTCACTCACAGATAATATAGTTCACTCACAGATACTATAGTTCACTCACAGATAATATAGTTCACTCACAGATAGTATAGTTCGCTCACAGATAATATAGTTCACTCACAGATAATATAGTTAACTCACAGATAATATAGTTAACTCACAGATAATGTGGTTCTCTCACAAATAATATAGTTCACTCACAAACAGCAGTTTACATCAAATAATATAGTTCACTCACAAACAGCAATTTACATCAAATAATATACTTCACTCACAAATAATATAGTTCTCACAAATAACAGTTTTCTCACAAATAATATAGTTAACTCACAGATAATATAGTTAACTCACAGATAATGTGGTTTTCTCACAAATAATATAGTTCTCTCACAAATAATATAGTTCACTCACAGATAATAAAGTTCACCCACAGATAATTTAGTTCTCTCACAGATAATAAAGTTCACCAACAGATAATATAGTTCTCTCACAAGTAATATAGTTCTCTCACAAACAGCACTTTTAATATCAAATAGTATGAACTAGAACACTGACAGGTCAGTAAGGGCCCCGTCTTATATCAATATATCCCCCATAATCATCAAGAAGCGATCTGCCCATATAGCTGAGCTTGAAGTCTGACATTTGGACTTCAAAAAGAATCGCAAGGAAGCAAAATATACATTTTACATGTACTATGATGTGAGTCTAGTTTCCTTCCACCTCCATATTTGCTGGGCTAACAGAAATGTAAATACCAGTGCAACACTCATTTGTTAGCTTTGATTTGTTTTATTTCACCTTATATACCTCCTCCATCAAGAGCCAGGGTCAAAGTCAGAGATCCACTTTGTCTTTGACCTTTGGACCCAAATGACCTTGACCATTAACCCAGTGACCCTGATCTTTGGTCAGTTGACTTATTCTTTAATTCAGACCAACTTTGCTTCATAATATCATAACAAAATGTTCATCAGTGAAAAATACAAAACTTGACCTTGACCCTTTGGACCCCGTAACCTGGACCTAAGGTCAGTTGACTCTGTGTTAAGTTCTGAACAACATTGCTTCATAATGTCATAACAAAATGTTCATCAGGGAAAAGGTACAAAATTTAACCTTCACCTTTGACCCAGTGACCTTGACCTTTGGTCAATTGACTCCTTGTTTAATTCTGAGCAACATTGCTTCAAAGTGTCATAGCGAAATGTTCACCAGTGAAAAGATACAAAATTTAACCTTGACCTTTGACCCAATGACCTTGACCTTTGGTCAGTTGACTCCTTGTTTAATTCTGATCAACTTTGCTTCATTATGTCATAACAAAATGTTCATCAGTGAAAAGATGTAAAATTTGACCTTGACTTTTGAACCTAATGACCTTTACCTTGACTTTTTTACCTCAGTGTGTCTCTTTGTTTAATTCCGAACAACTTTGCTTCATAATGTCATAGCGAAATGTTCACCAGTGAAAAGCTACAAAATTTGACCTTGACCCCTGACCCGATGACCTTGACCTTAGGTCAGTTGACTCCTTGTTTAATTCTGATCAACTTTGCTTCATAATGTCATAACAAAATGTTCATCAGTGAAAAGATGTAAAATTTGACCTTGACCTTTGAACCTAATGACCTTGACCTTTGACCTTGACTTTTTACCTAAATATAGAACAAATGTCACTAAGTCCCAATATTTTGGCCTCTTCACCTTCTTCAAGAGCAAAAGTCAATGATTATTTGAATTTGAGTGACATTTGTTCTATTTGTTATTTTTTTTCCCCTTTGGAAATCATCTGTTGTTTATTATGTCAAATATTAATTTCACTCACTTTAGTTTCTATCAAAATGGAAATGCTCCAATTTCATGACATTGAATTGAAATTATAGCCACTGCAGTTATACTTATTTCATTTTTTATACACTAAAAGCAAATCAAAACTGCGTTCTAAACAATGTTGAGTATTCAGAAACATATCTCAACAAAACCTATTAATGAAAGACAGGAACAGCTGTTACCTTGTCTTTCTTCTTTTTCTTCTTTTCTTTGTCATGGGGGTAGGGAGAGGATGGGTGACTGGTGGACAGGACCTCCCCTGCCCCCTCCACAAAGTCCTGGGTGCTGGAGGCTGCCGCGAACGATCCACTGCTATCCACCATGTCTGCCATGGCCCCTGTGTAGTAGCCATCCCCCATTCCCTGTGAAGGAGGAACAACAGGGTCTGAGGAGAAGATCTGAGGCCCCCGGGTGATAATATTACTGACATGGTCCATGTTTGTAGCGTACGTCTGGTCCCCCAGTCGGTTAGACTGACTAAATGTAATGGCCCCGTCTGATTGAGGACTGTAAGTTTGTACAGTTGATGGCAGTGCCTCATTACTGTCAACATCCATGTCGCTGTCACCATTCTGAACTTCATGTCTGCCCTGGTCCCGCTCCTCCTCTTCATCTTCACTCAGACTTCCGTACCCTTGTCTCTGGTCATCAGGCGGAGGAGGTGGGGGCGGGGCTGTCAGTAACATCTCTAGGTCGGTACCCGGGGGTGGAGGCTCACCCCTAAAGATACTCATCTCATTACCACTAAGGTAGTTCAATCCTCTCGGCTGAGGGCCTTCTTCAATGTGTGCTGCAAAATACAAAGTTATTTCATGAGTTGCAGCATGTGTTTCTAACGCTCCAGTCACTTGATTAACTACTACCTTCCTGCTGACATGGACTGTTTTTGAGACGACAAAAGCATATGGACTCTAAAGTGAATCATGAAAAAATATTCACATCAAAACTGGACAATTATTAATCTTAATATCTTAACTGGATAATACAATATTTATCCTACTCTACAATCATATTTACAGTAAAACAGATTTAAACCAGCACATACAGAAACAAGAGATCCCAGAGGGACCTGGGCGCCCACCATTTGTAAGATCTTAACTAGACCTTTCTAATTCTAATCTTTTCTATTATCTCGTGTCATCACTTAATGCATCTTGTGGTAAATTTGAGCAAAAATTTAATAAAGCTGTGCTTGATGTTGTACTTCCAAATTGAGGTTGTTGTTTTCCCTATTCACAAGCATTTCTACACTGTATAGTAATTAATGTGTAGCTTGAGTTTTCTGATTTCTGGCAGTCACATTTTCACTCTGATCAAGTTGCTTGAAACTCAAAATGGGACATTTTCAAATTCAGGGAACATATAGAACCTATTAACTTATGAGATTTGACAAAAATCTATGTAATTTACTTTCTAATAGCTATTAGAAACTTCAACAGTGTGGGCCCTCTCATATTCCAAATAGCCACAAATTAAAATGAAACATGCACAATCAAGGACCAAGAGCAACCTTCACATAAAATTTGATAAGATCTGTCCAGCCACAGCGTAGGACACAGCCGGTCGCCTGGTCGCCTTTTGCGACCAAAACCTTGATTGGGCGACTAGAAATTGTCAAAAGATGGATAGTTACTGGCCCAAAAATAAATCATTGAGCGAGTACATTTTTATTCTCAAAATCGTAGTTTACTCCCGTAAATTAACCACCCCAACTTCTGAACACCCATTTTCGGAAATCTTGTACTCTGGGTCACGCTGTTAAAACGTGAAAGTGCATCAGAATTGACACAGACAGTCAACATGGCAGATACAAACAAGGGCTGGGGATTTAAGTAAGTTAACTAATGCATTTTTATAAGTCCTAAGTTTCCTTCGCTGTAGGTTACTATTTTATGTTGTTTGGTCTGCCGTATCACCAGTACTTGTTGCTGACCAATTCTCGCCAAAGCGCATGTATTGTGCGATGTCATGCAAATTATTGTATTTTTTTCACACACAATCCAAAGAAGCTGTATTTTTAACCATATAGGCAAAATTGTAAGACTTAGCTGTCCTGTACACCGGAGATATCAGGTAATGAACCCTAAGTCGCCCCAAAATCGCCAGCTGATCGTCAGGGGGGTCACGTGACTATTTTTATCTAAATATAACAAAGTCGTCTGCAGTTGTAAATTCCTACCAGGTGAATTCAGTGACAATGAAGACTATGGGAATGAGGGGAGGGTTTTTAGGGTTATGTGTCGGGAGGGTTTGATTGAAGAATAAAGAACATCTATTTATATTGCTTAATTGGCATTTTTTATTACTCAACACTGAAAACAAGAGACCCAATGGGCCTGCATCGCTCACCTGGTATAAATCTCACACTTGTAACCTTAAAAGTGATCTAAAATAAAGCTACAGGCAAAACATCAGTATTTATGATTAAAATTCATTCAAAAGACCCTGTAATTTTTTTTTAAACATTTCATCCCTGTGATTGAAAGTCGAACAAATTTTATAGCCTTTCATCTCAGGATGCAACTTGCAAAGTATCAACATCCTGGGACCCATGGTTATTCAGAAGAGGTCGTTTAAAGATTTTAAACAAATTTGACCCCTGTGACCTTGCATATGGGTGAAGGTCATTCATTTGAACAAACTATGTAGCCCTTCATCTCAGCATGATAAATGATAAATATCAACATCCAGTTGAATATGATTCAAGTTCATACATTTGAACAAACTTGGTAGCACTTCATCTCAGCATGCTACTGACTAAATATCATCACCCTGGGCATTTTGGTTATTCAGAAGAAGTTGTTTAAGTTTTTAACACATTTGACCCCTGTGACCTTGAATATGGGTGAAGGTCATTCATTTGAACAAACTTTGTAG